AACACAATAATAGATCCACACATAAACCAATAAAATTTACCACTAACTTGCTACACTCAACGTGATCATCGCAATAGATATCAAAATAGTGTAGATCTGAATTTATAAAAATAAAAAATACATAAATAATAAAAAAAACTAACGTGCTAAAAAAAACAACAATGTTGCTAACGCACAAAAATACGATCATGGCAACCAGATCGAAGTGACACAAGTGTCACGCGTAATACACACAAATATGTATATAGCGTATCAATATAATTTGATCCGAACACATAATCATAAAAATTCTATTTAACAAAACTTTTATATACTGTCATTATATATTATATGATATATATAAAAATATATCCACAAAATATGACCCCGTATGCATGACTAATACTATATATATTGTATAATATAACAAAAAAGAAAAAAAAGAAAAAAAAATACAAATATATGTATATTCATATAATGTAGCACATGGCCTTATATATATATATATACTCAGTACGTTCATCACATATAAATATGCTCGCACAGTATTATGCATATGTTTACATAGTTTAGCTCATATCATATACCTACAGTGGAGATCTTGTGTAGAGCAAGTTGAAAATTTTTTCATATAAGACCAAAAGACTATTATATATATATTTTTAACAAATGAAAACAAAATGAATGGTAAGAACCTGCATGTATATGTCAGTATGTATATATGCATAGGAAAACAAATAAGAAGAAGTAATTGGATCACGCAAGAATCAGACCTGCAGAATAAATCTGCTGCTTTCTCAATCTCTCGCTCTCCTCTTTTTTTTTTTTATCTCCCCTTGTCAACAATATAACTTAGATATATATAGGGGTCAAATTAGGGTTAACTATCAATTGTCAATAATATCCCTAAAGCCCATTTTAAAGCCCAAATTAAATAATTAGTTAAACTAAATAAAATTTAAATAACTTAAAATAAACTTTAAATTCTATTTATTTATACTAAACATTAAAAATATTATAAAAGAACAAAATCTTTTTAATTTTATGATTTTTTGGATGTAAGACGGAAAAAGTGAAAAAATAATATTTTTTAAAAATGATTTAATTAAAATACGAAAATAATAATTAAATAATAATAAAAAACTATTTTTGTTATTTTTTTTAATGAAAAATAGAAAAATTTAGAGTAAAAATAATAAAAAACAAAAAAAGTGACAAAGGTGAGATTCGAACTCTCAACCTCTCACACTCACAACTCCTTACACATGTCCTCTTGCCAATTGTGCCATTTTTACTTTTTAGAAAAAAAATGCATGCCATATGATATTTACCTGCAAAAAGTCAAACGACTACACAAATTTGTTAGTAATTGATTAAATGCAATAAAAATGCAATGAAATGCGACGACAAATCTTAGGGCAAAATTTGGGGTATTACAGTCACAACAAGAGACGAAGAGAAATTCCAGGACCAGTGGTACTTAGACTCAGGATGCTCATCACACATGACTAGAAGAAAAGATTGGTTTATCAACATGAAGCCCTCGTCGAAGAACATGGTGAAATTTGCAAATGACAATACTATAGTAGCTGAACGTATTGGCGATGTTTTGATTATGAAGAAAGACGGAAAGAGGTCAACAATTTCTAATATGTTGTACATACCAGGCATGAAGAATAATTTGCTCAGTATAGGACAACTAGTCGAGAAGAACTACAAGGTGTCAATCAAATACAAGATGATGAGAGTTCTCGACACAGGTTGTAGGTTGATCTTGAAGGCTTCAATGCCTCAGATATAAGACCTTCAAGATTGAACTCAATGTGATGGAGCACAAGTGCCTAGCAACTGCAGCCAAAAATATGAATGGTTATGGAATTTTCGACTAGGCCATCTCAACTTCAATGACATCAGAGAGCTAAAGGGGAGAAATATGACTTCAGGATTACCTAAAATCGACATTCCAAGTGAAGTTTGTGAAGAGTGTGTTCAGTCGAAACAACATAAGAATAGCTTCAGCAAGGATGTAGGAAAGAAGTCGAAGGCAATTCTGAAAGTCATATACTCTGATGTATGTGGTCCAATTCAGGTGGATTCGATTGCAGACAATAGATACTTTGTTACGTTCATAGATGATTACAGTCAAAAGCTATGGACTTACCTCATCAAGAAGAAAAGTGATGTGATCGAGATATTTTCTAGATTCAAATCTATGATAGAAAGACAGAGTGGTTGAAAATTAAAAATGCTGAGGACCGATGGTGGTGGAAAGTATGTGTCGAAAGAGTTCGATGCATTATGTGAAAAAGAAGGGATTGTCCATGAGGTGGCGCCACCCTACACTCCACATCAAAATAGAATTCCAGAAAGAAAGAACAGAACCATCATGAACATGGTGAGAAGTATGTTGAATGGAAAGCATCTATCCAAAGAATTATGGGGAGAAGCAGTTTTGACAACAACATATATGTTAAACAGATGTCCGAAGAAGAAACTTGAAGGAATCACACCAGAAGAATGTTGATCTGGTGTCAAACCTAGCCTTAGTCACTTGAAGGTGTTTGGATTTATAGCACATAGAAATGTGTCAGATCAGTTGAGAAGGAAGCTTGATGATAAGTCAAATTAGATGATCTTGATAGGATATCATTTGACTGGAGGTTACAAGTTGTTCGACCCAGTGAATAAGCAGGTAGTGATCAGAAGAGACATGATTATAGATGAGCTTAAATAATGGGATTAGAATGACAATGTAAAGAAGGATTCAATGAGAATCTCTTATGAAGAACCAATCACTGAAGTTGAAAGTGAAGTTCGACAGGAACAAGTCAGAGATGAAGCTGGCCAAGCATACCTCGACGAACAAGACACATGCTTGCAAGGTTGCAAGAATGTGTGATTACATCAAATGATGTGGCCAGTGAAGAAGGTGAGCCAGTACACTATGCTTTCTACGCAAATGTCAAACCAGTCAATGCAGCTGAGGTATTGAAAGATTCAAAATGGGTGAAAGGAATGAATGAAAAGTTAAACTTCATTGAAGTCAACAACACCTTGCCACTTGTCGATTTGCCTAAAGACAAGAAGGAAATTGATGTGAAGTGGATTTACAAGGTGAAAGTGAATCCTAAAGGAGAAGCAACTCGACACAAGGCGAGACTTGTAGCGAAAGGATTTCTTCAGAAGGAAGGAATCAACTTTGACGAAGTTTTTGCACATGTTGTTAGGATTGAAACAATCAGATTGGTTGTTGATCTAGAAAATATGAATAATTGGAACACATGTCAGATGGACGCGAAGTGTGCATTTCTTAATGGCCCCTTACACAAAGAAGTTTATGTTGCACAACCAACTGAATTTTTGAAACAAGGCGAAGAAAGAAATGTGTACATCACTACTAGAAAACTTCATTTTATCTGCGAATTTAGCCTCAGCCACCGACACCGAGGCTAACTAGCCTTGACAATACCCAAGCTATTCAAACGCAAAAAAAAAACCATTTTAAAGTTACCTTTTACAATTATTTGTATTTAATGCATTAGACATGGCTAGGCCGAGGCTAAATATTTTTTAATTTTTGAATTTTTTTTTAAAATATTAGACACGGAAGAGCCGAGGCTAACTATTTTTATTTTTTCAAATATATTTATTTTATCTGATAGACAGGGATGAACTGAGGCTAATCATTCATAATTATTTTTATTATAAAATAGATACAGATTTACTGAGGCTAAATATCTCAAAATTCATTTTCCCACTCTTATTTTTCCTGTTTCTCTCTTAATTCCTTTATCCCTTTTCTCTCTATTATATGAGATGTTCAGCAAGAACCCTAAAATTAAACCAAATAGATTTTCAGAAGAAAAAAACCCCTAAAATCAAACAAAATCAATTTTGTATGATCGTTGAGAGATCATCTCTTCGTTTTCATCTTCAAGATCATCGATTCCCATCTGCAAGATCATCTCTTCATTTTTAACTCGGTCGGGGTGTTATGTTAGTGGGTCACTGGTTGAATCATTGAGTTGGGATATGGGTTTTTTCCAATACACCTTCAATCCAAGCACTATTGCCTTGGTGCATGTTTAATATGGTGGGTACTTTGATACCATCTTAGATTTTGATTCAAACTCAACCCTAACATGCCGGCATGGCATGTAAGTTGACGGTTGGCCATTCTTTATAACTGTCATTTGTTTTTGATTTATGCCTCTATATGTTATGTTGTGCTCTAAGATTTACCTTCTTAACTTGTAGTCTATATAGCAAGTTATGCCTTCTCTGTATATTTTAGTCATGGAGTAAATTTTAAGATGTTTGTTTCCTGAATAAAACTCATTGCCCAACTTTTTCTACCATTGATGTTGTTTCTTCTTTTGGCAGTCCAAACGATTGGGAGTGTTTCCTTCATTACCTAGGCTGTTTGATGGAAGATGGAAGCATTTGGTGTAATGAGGCTGTTAATGATCCAGTTCACCCCCCAAAATTTGTTAGTTGCAAAGTATCACACTTGACAAATGAGCAGGTGACTTATGTCTTTTGAGAGTGTTTAATTAAGACAATAATTTATGGATGAAGGAGGCGTGTTATCTATTTGTGTAGAGCTTGATTGATGTATAATTATAAGCTACTAACACGAGTGCAGTTTGTGTAGCGTGTGAATTAAATTTTACTAGTGTCGATGGGGAACAAACTGTAGGGTTCCCAATCTAGTGCTCCTGGTGCCAAAGCCTGTTGGTCCTTGTGCAAACTATTTACTCTGGAGCTTTTTTCAATTTGTTAAAATTGCAAAGAGTGAAAATACTAACTTTATTATCTTTAAATATATTATGTTACAGAAATATTTGAATTCTATGGCAGTTTTCCAGTAGGTTTTTAACATAATTGTAACTCTAGATTGGCTAGCTATAATAATTTATTTTAGAAAAACTTATTCCACATATATTTGAAGTGTTTTTGTAAATGTGAAACTTGTTTGTTTGTGGTTTGGTCATTTGACATGCTTTACTTCTGATGTTGAAATGTTTGTTGAAGTCTTCACTACTGATAAGAAGACAGAGCTCTTTGAGAAGTTAATGAAAAACAATGACACATTATCAACTCCACCAACCAAGGCACTTGGGCTTTGTATAAGCCTTTCTAAAATTAAACAACAGTTATTGCTAGGGGACATGTTTAAGTCTTCTGCAAGTGGTGAGTTTCATACTGTGGCATATGAATACATATTCCTCATTTATTCTCCTAAAAATTTTCTAATGTTCTGCCTCATTATAAATCTAAACATGCCTGACTGCCTGAACATTCACCTTTTTTAATTAGACTTTCAGGAAAGTTATTGACATGGTCTTGTATAATAGATATTCTAACACATTCATTACATGACCAGTTCTCTTACGATTCTTGAATTGACTTTTGTAATAATGTAATTATAATTCTATCTCATGGCTGAGTGGACATGCGCCTGATCCATAAAACCAGAAGGTATTTTTTCATGGAAACTTGAGATTGGTGTTTGACACACCTAAATCTCAGTTGAACAGATCTTATATATATATATATATATATATATATATATATATATATATATATATATATATATATATATATATATATATATATATATATATATATATATATATATATATATATATATATTCTACTACCAAAATGACCCCTATGTTAAAGTATCCCTAATTGTTTTATTCCAATCTTTCCTTTTTCTTTTTACACACTCGGGAGAGGTTAGAAACAAGCTGCTATGTTTTCCACTTGTGGTTTGAAATGCTGAATTTCCATATTGAGTATTAATGTAGTTCACCGTAACTTGTCTCAGATGTTGAGGTTTCATGTGCTCATATGTTTGAAATGTATTGCAAAAACCTTCCACTTTCAAAGGATTTTGATCTTTAAGAGAGCATGCATGACAAGGAGTTGCTTTTAATTACATGCAATGTTTTGGTTCAGGTATGCCATATTTCATTTTTTATTTATATTTTATGCCGCACATTGTCAAAAATGATTTAGAAGATATTCTTCTCTTGTAGTTTCTGTTCCCTGTTTATATATGGAATATACAAATTGTTGATAATTATTATTAGTGTTATGCAACTTGTGCTAGAATCTACTGTCCACATAGTGCAAGTCCCAAATTCTCTCATACTTGGCCACCTCCAAACACCATGTTGTGGACGCTACTAAATCCTTCATAAAATTATAATAGCAGTTGGGTCAAAAACTGCAGTGGAATCTACCATGACCGCATTTTAACAACACTGGTATGTGTTGCAAGTTGCAGACTCACCAGTATTGACCTTGGTAAGCTAGAGAAGAGAACCCAATAATGTTTCCCAGCCGCAGATTCACTAAGAAAACCCTAAAATATTAGTTAGGTAGTCCCGGGTTGTGAACCTGATTTATTAGTGAGGAGGAAACAAACTAAATAGGAGTTCTGGTGAAAATCCTTTGGTTGATCCGGTTTTTTCCTAAGTTTGAGGACTCTTTCGTGTGGTATAGAGGATGCCATGGTTTTTTTGTTAAGAGACGTTACAGTGCTTTGTCATAGTTATGTAATGAGGAGTTGAATTTGGAGGCAAAATTTGACTTTAGGCTCGACCAGGCTCAAGGCTAAATATTTTGTTAACTTATGGAGTTTGACTTTAGCCTCGGTCAGACCCAAGCTATTTTTATGTTGTAGACACAGCTAAACCGAGGCTAATGTAAACACGGCTAAACCGAGGCTACTGTAGACACGACTCTTTTTGGCCAAAGTTAAATGTTAGTTTCAATTGTTTTAGTCTTTCCCCGACACCGACGCTACGTCGAGGCTAATTGGCTAGTAGCGTCGATTTTTTTGCCTTATAGTGTCGATAAATGGCCGAGGCTAAATACTGTATTTCTAGTAGTGCATGTTGCATAATATCTTGTATGGACTTAAACAAGCTTCGAGAAGAGTCATGAGCAATTACCATAAAAATCGACAATATGTCAGCTATGAACTTGACGAAGATACAATAGCACGATCGAAAAAAACACATCGAAATGAAGTTGCATTATCTTCGAGAATAGGTAGCAGAAGAGAAGATGAACTTAAAACACTGCAAAATTAAAAATTAGACTGCAAAATTAAAAATTAGATTACAAATTAGATTACAAACATCATGACGAAGGAAGTGTCGGTCGAAATATTCAAATAATTTAAACACAATAAATTAAGTTGTGTATTAAATATATATAATTTATTATTTTAGAAAGATTAAATTTAATTTAGAAATATCATATTTAATTTAAAAAGATAAAATTAAATATTTTTAAACTTTTATAATTTGGATTTTGTCTTAGAGGGCAAGCTAGTAGATCTGATCTTATCATCTTCACGATTTGCTTTGTTTCTTTCTAAACTTTCCCATAAATTATAGTTAAAGTTTCAACAAATGTCCCAAAATTATTTAATACACATTACTATGTACCTTCAGGCCAAAATCTTTTCCTTTGTTTCTTTCTAAACTTTCTCCATAAATTATGGATAAATTTCCAACAAATGTCACGCAAAATTATTTAATACACATTACTATGTACCTTCAGGCCAAAATCTAATCTTTTTGTTCACATCTCAATCTAAATTTTTATGTTTGAAAATTCATGAACTCAAAAACACAATATTTCAAGCAAAGCAAATAAATATACTATTATAAACAAAATTTCACCATAAACACGGTTTTATAATTAATTTTTCACAAAACCTCATAATCAAATTAGATTAAGATGTAAATGAAGATGATGATGCTAAAATTTTAAACTTTTTTAATTACAAATTATAAATTAAACCTTTTTAGTATTAGTTGGAATATTTACTGAAATTTTTTATACACAAGATCCGTTCCCAAATGGCTTTTTCAAGATTGCCAACTTCACCGTAAAAGCTCCCCTCTATTATTAAACGTCAAGAAAGTAAACCAAAGAGAAAAAGTTCACATTAACTTAGATGATACACAACACAAATGGTTTTGTTGCCATAACAGGCAGCAATTTGTGTTCTTTTTATTTACTTTACATACATTATCTAACTCACATCACCACCACAAAACCCTCTTCACGCAACAGCACGACCATGCTCCTCCTTCCTCTCCTCATCATAAGGGAAAAATAATTCCTCCTTTCTCTCAAACATCTCATCCACCTTCCCAGCAGCTATGTCAAATGCAACCTCCTTAGCTGTCTTGTCCAATGCAATCACAATGTTCTTCTTCCCTATTTCCACAATCAATCATGTTGATTATCATCAAAATACCATACAAAAAGTGAACAAGACTATATATATCTATATATCTCTATATATACCTGCTAAAGCAATCTTCTTGTTTCTGTGTGCATTAACCTCAAAACAAACTGTGATGAGGTTATTCTTCTTGGAAGCTATGTTTACAAAAGGATGACCAGCTGGAACAACAAATACCATTCCAGGCCTCAACTTTGCATTCATATTATGGTATGAAATGCTACTCTTTTTTTGTTTAGAGTTTGATGAACTCGATGGCACGTGTGGACATGCCATCTCAAGTTCTCCTTCTCCATCAATTACCAATGCTATCTTGTTCGCATTTGTGTTGTAGTAAATAGTAGACATAGATCCCTAAAAACAGCACCAAAATAACATTTAGTGATTCAAATATTATGAGTTTTGTGTTATATATGAATGAAATTACCTTGGTGATGTTTGCAAGGGTAAGCATGAGATTGAGTCCTTCAAGTCCAGTCTTCTCTAGGGAAGGACCAACTTCAAAGAGACTACCAAACTGGTTAGAGAAAGCTGGATTGTTGCTGAAAAGATTGAATGGACCCTTAAATTGTCCACCAAAAGGCCAAAGAGTTTTCTTGGAAGCCAAGCCAAGCACATCTTCTTTTGCTATTTTGAAAATTCTTCCCTTCTTCTGTTCATCCAAAACCGTTTCCAACTCACCTTTCGAGCTCTATTGGTTTCCGGTTTCAAGTACAACAAGAAAGTTAATGAACCAAATTCATAAAATAGGAAACAATAGATTTTTATAGAATGATCTTCATCTACCTTGAATGCTGCTTGGAGCACTTTGGAGCTGAATGTATTGAGAACTGATTCTGGTTTTCTCCCTGCAGACCCAAAAAATGGCTACACAAACAACACATGTTACATTCAAAAAATGACTACTAATATCGGTTAATAAAAATATGTTGTTAAAGGTTGTAACCTCAAGTTTAACTGGAGCAGAACCATATGAAGGTGGCATGTGAAACGCTGCAATAAGAAGCTTCTGATTCTCATCTCTGTTAACTAAATACATTGGTGCCCCTGCTGGGACCCTCATGATGTCTCCTTCTTCAAGGTTGAATCTCTCAGTTCTATCTTCCGCCACCAACCCAATTATGCCTCTCCCTATAGTAATCAGCAGTAAAAAATCATCAATGAATAACAAAGTAGAAAGTCACTTATTATTTGTCTATATACAAATACATACCTTTGATGTTGAAGAGTATAGCCTCAGAGTCATAGTGGTGTGGAGAAAGAAAAGCGTTTGCTTTAATTTCTAAAACGGCCAAACCATAATTCTCAATGTTTTTGAGTAGCTTTGATTTTTCATTAAACTTGTTCAGAACCAAAACTCGACCATCGTTTGTTTCGATTTTTGTTTCAAAATCATTGTCTTCAAAGACATAAGGGTTTTCGTCCTCTTCTTGTTCTTCATCTTCTTGTTCACGTTCCTTATGTTTCTGTCGCTCTTGTTTCTTCTTAATATAATCATCACACTCTTCCTTGCATATCCGTTTGTCCTCTTCATCATATTGGCGCTGGTGATCGCATTGGTCTTTGCATGTTGTGAGCTCTGGGTCCTTTTCTTTTTTGCCTATGGCTAAGTTTGAGCATAGTAAAGCTAAGAGGAGGAAGAGAAAGATGGTTAAGGAAAGCTTGGTTTTAATCGCCATGGTTGAGCTTGGTCGTTTTATTTTGTGTGTGTTACATGGAATAATTCGAGTGTGTTGGCTCATTGTTTTATACGAGAAGAAAAAGAAAGAGACATAGTATATGGCAAAATGGCAAAAACATGCAAGGGGACGTGTGTTAGCATACGTGTCTGGTGACTAATTATTGATTGTGGCAATTGCTACCATGTGGAAATGAATTGATATACACTCGCCAGCAAGACACTCTAGCTACCAGAGAGCATTTTGATGACACGTTTTTTCTAAAGACACTCTAGCATTTAGAGAGCATTTTGAGCATTGTGACACTCTAGCACAAGTTTCAGCACCAAATAATAGCCGTTATTCTCAAAACAAAATTGTAACATCTCTCTTCTTCTACATTAATCGAACTCGTTCTCATAAACTTTTTCGTACTTCATACACTTTATTATTTTCTTTTTATAGATTCTTTCATTTATCTTTATTTTTCATATACTTTTTTTATTTATAGATTCTTCCATTTATCGTTACATTTTGTATTATAAAAGAGTTTTCATTTTACATGATTTTGGTGATTTTTGTTATCTCGGTTACATATATGCTCCATGTATGACACTTTATCATTGGAGCATTTTTCACTTTTTGATTAAGTTTACAAATTAAATATATATTAATTTTTTCTTTTTCTTAAGTTTCTTCAAACCTTTTCAACTTTAATTTCTTAAATTTAGGATCAAACTCAATTACAATACTGCTTGGTTGGTGGAAAGGATAACGTGAAATTAAAATCTTATAATTGGTTTTACAAATGAAAATCACATAATCCAAACAAATTTCAAGTAAAATAATGAATTTATTTTTATTTATCTACCAAATCCACTGACCAATGCAGGTTGAAAGATTAAACTTGATTTGGGCCTAAAAATATTATTTGAATTTTTGAGTTTAGTTGTTTTCGACTTAGGTAATTTTAATTAATGTTTTTAGAAAACTCTTGTAATGTTTGGAGTGTCTAGATATTTCTTAGTATTGTAATATTTTCTAGAATGCTCTTGGAATTTCTAGAGTTGAGAACTCTCTAGAGTTAGTGTGTCTAGAGTTTTCCTTAGAGTACTATAAATAGAGATGTAATTCTACACTTTTTTATCAAGCAAAATACAAAGTTCTCTCTTCCATAAATAATTCTCCTACCTATCAAATTTCTCTTTAAGCCTATAATATTCCCACACGCTTTTCCTAAACACAAAAGGTCTTATTTCCAACAAAGTGGCATCAGAGCTTGAAGATCCTCAAAAGATGGTGAATGAAGGTTTCCCTTTTCATATGCCGATTCCCACAAAGAACAACTATGACAATTGGAGTATCAAGATGAAGGCGCTACTAGGAGCTCAAGATGTGTGGGATATTGTTGAGAAAGGTTTCAAGGAGTAAGATGAAGCCTCCTTAAACCAAGGTGTAAAGGAGACATTATAGGAGTCAATAAAGAGAGACAAGAAAGCTCTCTTTCTCATTTATCAATCAGTGGATGAAGATACATTTGAGAAGATCTCTAATGCAACAACGACCAAAGAAGTATGGGACAAGCTTCAAACTTGCAACAAAGGAGTGGAGCAGGTGAAAAAGATTCGTCTTCAAACTCTTAGAGGTGAGTTTGAACGTTTATTTAGGGAAGAGTCTGAGTCAATTTCTGATTATTTTTCTCGAGTATTGTCTGTAGTCAATCAACTTAAAAAAAATGGTGAAGATGTTGATGAGGTGAAAGTCATGAAGAAAATAATTCGCACTTTAAATCCAAGTTTTGACTTCATTGTTACCAACATTGAAGAAAACAAGGATTTAAACACCATGACTATTGAGCAACTTATGGGTTCTGTTGCACCCCAAATTTGTCCTACCTTTACATAATTTCTAATGCCACTTTATTTTGAATGAATAAAATGACACAATTGGCAAGAGGCCGTGTGTAAGGAGTTGAAAGTGTGAGAGGTCGAGAGTTCGGAGTTGAAAGTGTGAGAGGTCGAGAGTTCGAATCCCACCTTCTTCACTTTTTGTTTTTCTTTTATTTTTATTCTAACTTTTCTATTTTCATAAAAAAAATAACAAAAATAGTTTTTTTTATTATTAATTTATTATTTTCGTATTTTAATTATATTATTTTTTAAAAAAATATTATTTTTTTCACTTTTTTCCATATTATTCATAAAAACATCCAAAAATCATAAAATTAAAAATATTAGAAAAGATTTTATTCTTTTAAGTTTGTTTTAGTTTGTTTTTTTTTAGTTTTGACTAATTATTTAAGTTGGGCTTTAAAATAGGCATTAGGTTAGAGTTAACCCTAATTTGGTTACCTATATAAACATAAGTGAGGGGAGAGCACAAAAGAGGAAAAAACGGCGGCCGTTCTCACGACTTATCAGAAGAGGAAAGCGTCAGCAAATCCACCAAACGGCGCAAAACCACCGCGAACCGCTTCGAACCCCGAACGAGGTGAGCAGTTCTTTTTGTCAATAAAAAAGTTTTTCTGTTGTTTTCAGGTGGAACAAACCGAAGAAGAAGGAGAGAAATCGTTTCCGGCTATGCAAGAATGGAACAAAGCTCAAAGGAGTTGCAACGACGCCGTCACCGTGATGAAGAAGAAGATGGGGTTTCTAAAAACCGAAATATTGAAATGCTTCAGCGTAAAGCCTACTTTTCCCCTTTTATTTTTTTTATATTTTTTATTTTTTCCTTTTTTATTTTTCTTCTTATTATTATTATTATTATTATTCTGATTTTCTTTAAATTGTAATTATGTCATAATAAATGGTTAGTTTAATTAAAAAATATTTGCTAGTTAAACCTTGTTTTAAAACTCTGTTCTTATAATAAAAAAAATTAAAACTGTTATTTATTAAAACTAAAACTTCTTTTTTTAAAAAAAATTTAAATTGAATCTTTTTAAAAAAAATTAAAACTAAAACATTTTTATTAAAAACCATTGTTTCAAAATTAAGATTAAATTTCTTTTTTCAGAAATTAAAAATAAAGTTTTTCAAAATTAATAAAATAATAAATTTTCAAGTTGCATTTTCTTTCTTTCATTATTAATTGCTTTATTATTTGTCATTGATTTCTGCCTAACTTTTTTTTCACTAACGTTCTCTATTTGTTTTCCGCTAGGTTTTAGTCGGTCTCCGATTATTATTAATTAAATATTTTGTTATCATATTTTTAATTTGTTCCATGGATGTAATTTACGCGAGGCCATGGTCGCGGTTTATTTTATTTTGCATGTTTTGGGGATTTGTAATTTACGCGAGTGATAGTCGCGACGCTTTCTTTACTTTCCGCACTTTATTTCTGTCATATAATATTTTGCCATGTTTTGCATGATTTAGCATTATGTTCCTTCCGAAGGATTAGGTCTAGCCGTTTGACCGCCGAGTCAATAACCCTAACGTTTGACCATTTCAAAACCCTAATCGCATAGGTGTCCTGCCGTGGACGAAAATACCCTTTACCCTAGCATTAGGTCAAAGAGTCGCCGTACTCTGTTTTAGGGTTTCCCGCCGTGGAATATTTAATTTAACCCTAATTTCAATTAACAATTTCAACGTAGAAATATGAGTTTCAAGACTCCACGTAGGCGCTTCCCTATGAACGCTTACTCCCCAATGAAACCTTGACCACAGTCAAGACGTTTCTAACCTCCCTTTCGAGGGGAACTACAATTACTCTGATTCCATTCCCGTCAGGATATGTAGGCACAAGATGCAACGTCTTGCCGAGTAAACTTAGGACTAACCGTTAGCTCTTTTAGGCCACTCTATCCCTTAGCAATATATTTCAAACAGATAATAAAATAAAAAAGCATACAATAAACAAAAGGTTCCTGTAGAGTACTACAGAAGTTTAGGGTGCTAGTACCTTCCCTAAGCTTAACCAACCCCTTACCTAGATCTCTCCCTGCATTGTCTTCACGATGCAAAATTAGGTTTTCCTCTTTTGACCTTTTCCTTCGGATAAATCAAAGAGCGGTTATGAACTAAAGATGCTATTCAAATTAATTAATAATTTGATATCATATTCTAACCGCAACAGAAAATGGCGACTTCACTGGGGATCCTCCTAATTTTTAAGGGTTACCCCTATTTTGTTTATTGTATGATATTTTATTAATTATTTTTATATATCATTGTACTTTGTGGGGATACCTGTTATTGTGAGATAAGTCCTAACCCGGACTTGAGTGACCTTATTATAGGAAGGTGAGATATTCGACGAGGCTTGCCGGGAGTGAGTCCCGACCAAGTCGACTCGAGAATCACCGCTCAGTTGAGACCCTTTCGAAAATGGTTCGGTTGATCGAGTGCAGTCGTGAAAACTTTTACTATTTTCAATTGGAGTCTGTGATACTGGGGACCGTAGTACCTTAACACCATCTTGACCTTATATAGGACGTAGTGCGGGAACTATGTGGGAGTAGTCCTACAATGGTTGCTACGCGATACTACACTCAAATGAGGTTCTCTTGAGGATATTATCGACCCCCGAGTCAGTTGGAAAGTTGATAATATCCGAAAGATAGATTGATGACTTTGGGCACCGCTTTAGAACCTTGTTCTGCAGGTACAATCAACCTATAGTACTTACCTTTTGGGAAGGGTAGACCTTAACTCCATTCGTTGTCCTCTAACCTAGGACCTTTGTGTGTGTATTTGTGCTTTGCATCCATAAAGCATCATATCATTTCCAGTTTCAAGGAATTCAATAGTCCTTTGCAAATTCAAAAAGGTCCTACATTTTAGAGTAAAAAAAAATTTCTTTCCAACTTTCCTAAAAGGGAATATTTGCAATCGAACGTTGAAATTCTTGGAACAATTACATGGCATTAGCATCACATTTTTGCATTGCATTTTCCCCCGGTTTCTCATTATCGGTTCTGTCATCTTCCAGTGTACCTTTGATTCGTCAAGTTGATTCCTCGACACAGATATCAGACCAGGGCTAACTATAGACATTATATGTCAGAGCAAGAG